TTGACATTTTCAGTTTCAGCCCACCAATTCCATAATGTATTTTCCTCCAGTTTCATATCATACATTATATTTCAAGAAATCACTTTAAATTATACCAAAATTTGATTCAGCTGAAATGGATGATGAACCAATTTTAGATTTCATGTTGCATTTCATCATCTAGGAAAGAATTGTGATGAAATCCAATTTTTGTTACAGCAAACATTAGAAGCACTTCAGAAGAAATAACGAGTTTTGTAGGTTTGATCATTTTACAGATTCAGTTTTAAATTGCTAGTAAAGTATCTTTTGCTATATGGTTTCTTAACCTCTTAAGACCCGGCAAAACATTTTAGGAAAATTTTTTTATTTTTTTCATTTCATTACATTGTTAGAGCATTAAAAAAAAATGTAAAAATGATATTTCATTCATAAGTTATGCTACGTCCTTGGTAGAGGACATCGGGACTCAATTATTTTTTTTTTTAAGTAAAAAGACATGAATGAATATGCATAGGCAAAAACAATTGATTTTTTTTTTAAAATCACCAATACATTTTTAGTTTTCAGGATTTTTTTTTCACCAAACTTTGTATAAAGATAATTCTCAACTATGTTATAACAGAATGATTTGATATACCATTTTTCTTTATGCAAAATGTGTGTAAAATGCATATTAATGTGTTTTTGCAGCAACATGTAATGAAAAAAGAAGTGTAATAATGGGAGTAATAATTGACAAGATTTTCATAATAATATATAATATTTCATAGGAATATTTAAATATGATTTATTTCCCTAATCATTTGTTGTGTCTCCCAAAATGCGTAATAAACATGCTTTTAGTCCCGGTGTCCTCATATGAAGCGTCATCTATCTGGTCGTTGCTCCTCGGGGCCCTAAATATTGCCTCTCAGCTATGTCAATGAGGTATGTTAATCAATAGCTTCTTTCATCACATGGAGTGCAAAGCAACAATTCTGTCTATGTGTACCTAGGCTTGTGTTTATGTAGAGAGTGTGCCAAGCACTCAGAGTAAATGAAAATATACACTGGGAGAACCATCCCAGGCATCTCCTATAACAAGCTGCAGAAACTCTCTAAAGCATTGCTGCTATGTTGTGGGGAATCTTGAGAATCTGAAGCTTAAACCACCGTGCCTTCAAGCCTTCAGCGAGACCTCAGGGGTGAGGGGGTGACTGTGGATCATCACCACCCGCTCACACGATTAAAACGATTTTCCAGGATCTGGGCCACAAAGGTTTATGTCACGGACAGCTGGAAAGTGATTTGCTGGAGTCTTAGTTGAACGAGTTGGACGTCATTGTGTGGTCTTGACTAAAACCTAAACTTAAGCCACATATGTCTCGACTGATAAAAGCTGAAACTGCAGAGTGATAGTGTGAATACTGGGTGCTAAATTGAGCAATGCACTTGGAGAATGCACACTTTTACAGCATGGCACCTTGGGAAACATGCTGCCGGAGTAATGCGCTTGTTCCGCTCAGAAACTCACTGGTGGCACTTACTTATGGATCATGTTCCGCATGGCAGGAATTCCTGATTCTTGTGGCGTCTCAATAAAACCAGGCACAGTAAATAAACATGAACGTACAGTATTAAAACGCATCATCTTACTCAATATAGAGTGTCAAAAAATCAATCACAGATGTTAATATAGATGCAGATGAATGTCATTGGGCCTCAAAAAAAAAAAAAAGCAGAAGAAACTTCTGCATTGTTTGTAAAACCATTTTTCTTACATAAAACCATACAAAAACTGCAGCTTTTCATTCAATGTTTTATGAAATAATGGTTTTCCAAATAATTTTTTAATTATGATATATAGGCATATATGTTTCATCAATCACTATTACAAAATGTATTTATTTAATTATTTTTAATTTATTGTAAATAATTAGGTTTATAACGTGACTCATTCTTAATATATAGTGTTTAAAAAAGTGAAAAAGTCATTTTTTTTTTAAATAATTGGGTCAACAACATGACTTGATTATTTTTTGGTGTCTGGAAAATGTATTATATAATGTATATTTTATATATATAGTCACGTATAAACCCAATTATTTAATGAGACACATTTTGAAAAAAAAAAAAGTAGAAAAAACTTGACTTATTTTTTGGTGTCGTAAAAATGTATTATATATTATATTATATATTATATTACTCCTATTTTTATTATTATCCGGACCTCAAAAAATCAGTGATGTTATAAACCCAATTATTTAAAAAAAAAAATTTATCTTGAATACAAATATTACATGAAACTTTGTACATTATCTCTCATCTTTAACCTTGGACATCCATTTGTTTCTGACCCTAATATTACTCTTGTAATCAATAACTTCTATGTACTGAAGAGCCCAGCCTCAGAAGTGGCTGTCGTCGCTGTCATGTGTACACATCATAAGTCTTCAGTGTGACTTTTGATTTGACTTGATCAGGTTTCATTTGAGAACCTAGAAAAGCACTTTTATGTCAGTAGCTTGGGTCCTGTGACCAGCAGGGCCATCATCTTGCAGTATTTCAGGATGAGGTCACAATCTTTTTCTTTACTCAGGCGCTCTGCCAGTTTCTCTACGCCTGGCTCGGGACTGACAGCTCTATGGGCATCCCCATGAATCACCGGTCATGTGGCGGGGCCTCCACACACTCGGACAGACACCGAGTTATAAACAGCCCTGTAACCCTAGTAGGACAGCTGAAAAAGAGACTCAAGAAACAAAATGAGTGACCAAGAGTGAGAAGCAGAAGAGATCAATGTATTTGTGTGTCGTTTTTAACCCTTTGATGCACAACATCCCAGGTAGCCAGCGCAATCGGGCCGATCGCGGCTGAGTGTCGGCTCACTCGGCTGTGTTCTGGCAGCGGCTCACCGAAAGTGAGCCAGCTGTGGCCCAGTAATGGTTGCCAGATTTGGCTAGGCTTTGGATGTGCGGATCTGGCCCGATTTGCACTGAGACACGGCACATTTAGCCACATTCGGCCCGATTACGGACCATAAGTGCTGGTCTGATTTTGGCTGAGATATGGGCATGCATACCCGGACCAGTTTAGGTTGAGTGCTGGGGGTGGGTCTCCGTTTACAATGTGGTAAATAGTATGTAGCAGTGACACTTAAACTTAAACATAATATCTTTTACCTGCCCTTGTTATGTTATTTTTTAGTGTATTTTTTATTTTGATTTATTAATATTTTTCCCTTTTATCCAACATTCTCGTTTTTCTTTAACTACATTTGGAAATTAATGATTTAATTAATATAATGAAACAAGCTTAAAATGGTTAAGGGAACTTTAACATTATTTTTGCTAAATGAGTTTCAAGACATGCGCACTAGCTATGTGCTAGAGCAGGGGTGCCCAAACTCGGTCCTGGAGGGCCGGTGTCCTGCAGAGTTTAGCTCCAACCCTAATCAAGGACACCTGAACCAGCTAATCAAGCTCTTACTAGGCATGCTAGAAACTTCCCGGCAGGTGTGTTGAGGCAAGTTGGAGCTAAACTCTGCAGGACACAGAGTTTAGCTCCAGGACCGAGTTTGGGCACCCCTGTGCTAGAGTTTAGCTCCAACCATAATCAAGCACACCTGATCCAGCTAATCAAGGTCTTCAGGATTACTAGAAACTTCCAAGCAGGTGTGAGTTTGAGCTAAACTCTGCAGAGCTGCGGCCCTCCAGGAATTGAGTTTGACACCACTGGTCTATATTGCGACTGATCTCTCTTTTTTTTTTTCTTCAATCAGTGCAAAGAAGTGCAAGTACTGGCATTGCATCAGATGGAGATATTGAAAAGTTCATCAAAAGATGGCTGCTGCTCACTTTGGACAGAGATGGGGGAAGAAAAGAGCGGGCCCGAATGCAAACAAATTCTTCCAACGGTATGTTCCAAATGTTAACATTTACCAGAGTTACCATTCATGTTATCAGTCTGAGATTGTCTGAATAATCATACGTGTCATTGTCTGTTCCCCTTTTTGTCTCTCTTTCTGTCAATCTGTCCCTCTTTTAGGGTA